AACAAAGGTCATCGCTGAATAAAAAGTCTCTACACCTCAATTACAATAAGAAAAGCAGGAAAACACATTTCCCTCTGTCAAAGACAACAATCCTCTCCCCAAGCCAGGAAGCTATTAAGCAGATGCTCGATCAGCAATCCCTGAAAAGCCTCTCCTTCTAGCAGTATGAACCTTCCAGCCCCAGCTAAAGCCCTTCCTTTATTTTAATAGTTTTCATAATCCCTTAATTTGGCAGCGACTTCTGCCTGCATGCACTGAGCCCTGCTGACCTCACCGGCTTCCTCTTGGGAAAAAACAAGAGGCCAACCAGAACCAGCATGGGAACAATTGCATCCTTCAGGTGAGGAGGGAAGTTTTTTCCCCATGCACTGGGATGCTCCATGCCATCTACCCCAGGGCATCCCAGCCTCATGCCCCAGGGACCCCTAAACCCAAAAGCAAAGAGAGCCGCATGACACATCCCAGGGCTTGGGTGTGTTTGTTGTTCACCACCACTTGGAATTCAGGAGTTGCAAATCTCAGCGAGGGTTCACTGGGGCCAACAGTGGGCCAGTGGTCGGTAGGCTGGCTGCTGCAGGAGTGAGTTCACATCCATCCAAGATTTGAGAGGAACGGGTAAGATGTGGCTCTGAGGGACACGGCTTAGTGAGCAGTCAATGGTTGGACTTGGCGATCTTTGTGGTCTTTTCCAACCTCAATGATTCCAACAGCTGTGGGAAGGTTTTCTGCCTTTCTGCCCCCAAATGGGTTTCAGCTCTGCCCTTCACCTCAGCTCTTCCCTCCCGCTCAGTGGAAGCAGCATTTTGTGGATTTCTCCATGGTTTTCACCAAAAATGGTTTCTCTCGGTTTCTGTGTGCAGGGGGAACCAACACCAGCACTGCGCCCACTGCACTCGTACCAGAGCTGATCAGGTAGAGCAGCTTTGCCCAGTTTATCACTAAAGCAATTTCTTCATAATTCAGCAGGCTTCAAAGGTTTCCGGAGATGAGTGGCAGTTTCACTTAAACTAGCAAGCTGTAGATGGGCTTTACCTTAAACACTAAGTGAATAATCAATGAACATTCAGGATATAAGCACAAATCAATGATTTCTTCCAGATGAATCAAAGGGAATCGCAAAGCAGAAATGGTTTTGTTCTGCAAGAGAAGTAAACCACAGGCCATGCTTGGTATAACCAGAGGTGTGCACCAACCCGTTCTGCTTCTGTCCTTCCCAGCAGCAGAGGAACACCCATAAGGGCACAAAGAGTGAGAGCCCAGTGTGAACACCCAACAATAAATTGCCAAGGGATGTAAGCAGAAATGCAGTTGGCTCCAGGCAACGAAAGCTTTATTTTGATAAATGCACATAAACAGATTGCATGGTGCCACTCATCCTCGGGATGAATTTGGTCAAACCATAAGCAAGATAATCTTGCACATGCTGCTGCACTCCGTGCATCAGTCACAGCTGCTGGTGAGCACTGCAATGACCCAGCAGGGGCTCTCAGAAACACTCCTGCACATCCTTGTTATTTGTTGTGCATTTTAATGACAGATTTCCAACCTCTGCAGCACCTTTGCAGAGCCCCTATCTGCACTCCCTCATCCTCTGCAGGCTGGTACATGTGTCACATATATGTGTCACATACACTGTGAATGTCACACACAGGGACAGCCCCAGCTCTGAGCAGGGACAGGACCTGCAAAGTGCTGCCCTGCACCTCCAACAGGAGCTGCAGAACTCCGGGTGCAGGAGCAAGGAACAGAACGGACAGAGCAGCAGGAAGCCCTGCCACATCCAAACTGTCCTTATCAAAGGAGGAAACCCACCAACCCGCTAGCATCTCACTGGAACTTGTTCTCATCCCTTCTGTTGCTCATCTGCAGGCAGGAAAACTGCTGGGTGCTGCTCCCAAGGGCTGCCAGCCTGCAACACCATGCACCACAAGGAGGGCATCACAGCCCCTGTGCTACCTGCAGTGGGTAAGCAAACCCTGAGCAGCTGTGTGAGAGAGGCTGTGGAGCTGGTCAGACCTGTTTGAACGTCTTTCACTTAATTGTTTTGTCCTCCCAACAAAGAGCAGGTGACAGGCAAGCAGGCTCTGCGATGCTTTCTGTGTTTTATTATCCATGTGCTCCCCATTTGTGCAGAGCAGTGTCACCAGAGCTGTCCCCAGGTCGTGGCAGGGGACAGCAACGCTGCAGTGAGTGATGGACACAGCCTGCCCCGAGGAGCCAGGGCATGGGGATAGGAGGATCTGGGATATTACAGATTAATCAGCTTAACTTCAATGATGTATTTAGACAGCAATGAGGACCTGAGCACAAAAAACCCTTCTTTACCACAACCAAATCACTGCAAACGCATCATATTTCTGTGGCAGGGTGTGACATCCCATAATAGAGCTGGGATGCAGGAGATGGACCCGGCTGCTGCAGGATGTCCCACTGCAGGCACAAATGGGTGTGAATGGGGTTTGCCAATAAAGCAAGGAGTGGGAGGACCTGACTGAGGAACGGTCCAGGGAAACCCAGACTGGGACTTCCATCCATGAGCTGCTTGTTGGGACACAAAACGCACTGATGGCATTCGAAGGCCACCCCCAGCTGAGGGGGTGCCAGCACAAGAGCAGCATTTGGAACAATCCTGACCCCCTGCACTCATCTGTTAAAACAAGGAAGACGTGGTTCAGCAATGTAATGGGATTTGGTGAGAACAATGAACCAGGTGAGGAACGGAAAGCAGGAAAAGTTCTGGAGAAGCACGGCTAAAGGGCAGATGGGACCAAAAACCATTAAACGTGCATCATCTGTAGCAAAAGTACAAAGCAACAAAAGTACACAGCGAGAAGGATAAGACCCACAGCGAGCTCTGCTCTCTGAGCACAGCAGTGCCTCAGCCCTGTGCTGGGTGTCAGCTCAACATGACAGCCCTGAGGGGAGCAGCGGAGTGACCACAGACCAAAGAGCTCCTGTAGTGAGGGAAGGAACTGCCCTGCGTGTACCCCAAGAAGGGAAACAGGGCAACATTTCTGCTTAGATCGTATGAAAAATCTGCTGGTAGGGCTGTTAAATGTCAAACTCTGTCTGGGGAGCTCAGGTATCTCTGTCATCATAGGTTATTAGGAATCAATAGGATAAACATCAGGCAGGAAGGATACGTATGCCCCGATTCTACGTAGGGGCTGGGATGGACTGCATGACCTCCGAGGGCTGACAACGGTCCCAGGACAGCCACACCGGCTGCAAGCACACCGTGCCGGCACACAACCCGCGCTACCTGTAACCTGTTGTAACCACCGCTGCTCGTCAGCAACCGGTGCCAGACGGAATCAGGGCTGCGAGCCCTACCAGAAGGACACAGAGGGGCTTCCGTTGGGGTCACGCCCCGTATTTCTGCTGCAGGATCAGCAGAGGCTGCAGCTCCCAGCTGTGGACAGGGGACCGTCCCAAACCCGGCACCCAGCTCAGCACCACGCAGAAGCACAGGGAGGGGCTGCTCACAGAGCCCCAGCACGGCAGCGGGGCTCTCGGCTCCCCATCCTTCTGGTCCCTCATCGCCCTGAAGCCACGGGGCCCCCATCTCTCCATAGGGATTGAAACCCAGTAGGATTTAAAGCCGGCACGGGTTCTCCCCTCGAGCATCGCAGCCGGCAGCGCCCAGCAGCCCCGGCTCACCCCCAGCCCGCAGCGCAGCACCGCGGACCCCCAGCGCGGCCCCCGCGGACGCTATGGGACCTCAGCGCGGCGCGTCAGGATGCCGCCAGCTGGGACCCCGGGTCCCTAGGATCCACCCACAGGATCTCCGCGGACCCCACCGGATCGCCCCGCGGCCCGGAGCCGCCCCTTACCTTTGTGCCCGCCGAAGGCTCCGTACCACGAGAGCGAGAGCAAGGCGCAGAGGCAGCCGAGCAGCAGCGTGAGCGCCGTGCCGCTGCGGAGCCTCATCGCCTCCTCTCCGCCGGCGGCGGCCGCATGGCCCGAACGCGGCGCGGCCTCGGCGGCCCCGGGGGCCCCGGAGTGCGCGGAGCGGGGCGCGGCGCCCGCCCGCCCGCATGCAGGGACCGCGCCGCGCCGGGCCGGGCGGGCGGGGCGGGGCATGGAGGGGCGGGGCCGGGAGGGGCGCGGGCGGAGAGCGCCCCCATGTGGGGGAATGCGGTATGGCAGCTGCGATGGAGTGCGTGCGTGCACGTGTGTGTACGTGTGTACACACCTCTGTGTGTGCACGTGTGTGTACGTGTATATGCATCTCTGTGTGTGTGCATGTGTGTGTGTACGTGTATATGCATCTCTGTGTGTGTGCACGTGTGTGTGTGTACCTATGCACTCATGTGCACGTGGTTTGCATATACAGTGGCAGCTACCTCTATACTCAGTTTATGCACATAGCTGCACACGTGTATATGTGTGTGCACACATAAATCCTGACATAGAAATGCACGCATGCAAAGGTGCCCGCACAGGTCTGTGTGGATGTGTGCATATGAAAGTGAGTGCAGGGGTACATATCCCTACATGCACCTGTCTTTCTATCTGTCTCTCTCTCTATATACAGGTGTGCATTGTGTACACATATCTTTGTGCATAGTGCAGTGGGTGCAGAAACACCCTGCACAGAGTCCACCTTCAGCTGCTGGGCAGGACAGAAGAAATCAGATATAAATGTTAGTTAGCTTGTTCTTCAGTTTATCAGTGTTCTGCTGATGGGCTCAGCTTCGTTTCCTTGTGAGCTGCACAGTGAGGCTGGGCTGAAAAGGCAGTGCACTGTGGGCTCCCAGAGCCGCAGCACCGCTGCATTACAGCAGCCATACACACGGGGTGGCAATTAGGCAGCCCTGCATCCCTTCCCCATTTTGGGCAGTGAATCACTTTTTGAAACCTTGATGTGCACTGCAGGAGCTGCAGTTAATGGGGGAACCCCTCCAGAGAGCTGCGGGTGGGAGCAGTGCTGAGCCCTGTGACCATTGCGGAGTTCAGGGCAATACCAGGATGTGTTCTGCTGCACCAGAATCATCAGAATCAGAATCAGATGTTGACGGACTGTTTCCAGATGTGCAAAATGCTCCCACCGCTTGGGATATGCGATGCACCTGCAGTGGGAAAGAAAAACAATAATTTCTCCAAGACGATCAATTAGACTCCTTTCAAAGGATAGGGCTTAATCTAATTTCTCTGTTGTATTTTGTTTTCATAAAAGGCTGAAGAAATAAATGAGCTTCCCCACACCACGGCATGATAAAACCTTGGGCTGTCATTGGAAAAGTAAGAGCGCAACTTTTGGCCCCTGTGACATTTGTATTGGTGGCAAAGCTTACCTTGACTCCTAAAGGCCCTCCCTGCCCCCACCTCAGTTTTGGCTTTATTTTGTCATTCCTTTTTTTTTTTTTTTTTTTTTTTAAGCAAAGTTTGAATTGTGAACTGCAAACACTCAAAAACCCAAACAGCAAACAGAGCCCGGTGACCTTCGTCCCGTCGGTGCTGGCAGCACTGAGCACACTGCAGGAGCTTGGTTTGCACACTGTGAGCAGCCCACAGTTAAGGCCGTGACAGAAATTAGGAGAAATGCGTGTTAGGACCAGATTTAGAATGCAGTGCAGATTGATAGCTGATTTTGTCTGGTTCTCTGAAGAGTCATTTACCCCCAGCTTGACTCTGGCCCAGCTGCTCTGCATCAGCACAGTGCTATTTCATCAGCAACAAAGTGACCTCATTGCCAGGTGCCCATAGGCTGCCGCATTCAGACATTATTGCCTTCAGGTTCTCATTAGGGGCAAAAGTCACAAATCACATTCTGAACACAGCACTCACTCCAGGTAAGGAATGTAGGTTGAAAAAAGTGCCATCTCACCTGTGCAAGCACAGAGCTCTGATGTCCTCTCACGGCATAGATGCATGCTGACTCCATGCTTGCCATCTGCACCTTCTTCCTGTCTTTGCTCAGTGCCTGCTCTTCCTCCCTTAAAAAGAAGTGTTGTGTTACACCAGTGACGAATGGTTCTGATCCTATGTAAACACCACCAGGTTCAGAGCTCAGCTTCAGGAAAACCAGACCTCAAAATGAGACAGCAAAAAGACAGCTTGGCTTCCCCTTCTGCCCACACAGTTTTCCTAAGCAACGTTTCTGAACATGATCCTACCACCAAAACAGAGATGTATTTCTGTATCTATGCATGTACACCTACCTACTGATGTGCGCATATATATGTGTGAGCATGTATTTGTGACACCCTGGAAGCAGGCTGGATGCAAGGTGTTTTTTGTTATTCGTTATTCGTTATGCATTGTTAATCATGATGGTGATTGGACACCAGGAGCTGCCTCAGGGCTGGGTGGGAGCCCTGGTGAGGCTGAAGGAGGCATGGAGGAGGGCAGGCAGCCCTTCTGCAGGGCCGGAGGAGGAAGCAGTCATGGGGCAGGGTGAGTCATCAGCATCTGACCTCGCACATCCGGAGGATCCCTCTCCAGAAGCCTCTGGAAAGCACCAGCACCTGCTCTCTGCAGCTCTGCACAGGGCAAACCCTCCCCCCCGCCCAGGTGCAGGGTGGTGGGGCGGTGGCTTGGATAATGATTCCCTCTGGAGAACTGCCAGCAGCCTCTGTTGTGGTTTGTGAGCACGGGAGCTGAATCCCAGCGGGGCTTTGCTGTGACAGCGCAGAGCTTGGGCAGAAGGAGCACTTTTGACGATTGGGCCTTTGGAGCAGCAATCTCAGCAAATATTTTTAAACGCTTTCCAGCAGAAGGTGGGTGGAGGGAGGAAGCAGAGCTGCAGGGGTGCTGAATGCTCTTTTCTGAGCCCTTCCTCTGCAACTTGGAATCGTGAAACTGGAGCAGTTTTATTCCCGTCCGCTTTGCTGTCCTGCTCTGTGCATCTGGGGAGCTGCTCGTAAGCCGGGGTTGCCAAGGGGTTTTTTGAGCAAGGGTTGTTCTGATGGAGCATGATTCCTAAAGAATGGCAAGAAAATATTCAGTGCTGTCAAATGAATGCCAAGCTTGGGTTAATATAGGCTCAAGTTAACATGAGCTCAAGCCAAATCTCAGGCTGCAGAGCTGTGTGCAGGTGTGGTTTGGTGGGGAGACATCCTTCATCTGTCCAGCTGTGGGATGAGAGGATGCAGGGAGTGCCGTGGGAATACATGGGAGCACAGCAGGGCCCCAGCCATGGGGAAACACCAGTCAGGGCCTGGAGAAGGAAATCCCCACCTCAAGGAGGAGGAGGGAACGCTGAGTCACCCCATCCCATGACCATGAGCTGAGCTCACCACAGCCCGGCCGAGGTCTTGTTTTCTTTGTGTTTTGAGAAAGTGAGTGATGTCACAGCCAGAGGGCCCAGTGTGACTCAGCAGGCAGCACAGAGATGGGACGTCCTCCATGTTTACTGGATTGAAGTTCACATGGAGGAGCGCAAGGATTCCTGGTATTGATGCCCAGGCCGTGGCTCACATCAAGCTTTCCCTTGTCACCTCATGCTGCATGAGTGCTGCTTTCCAGAAGAACGCTGCTATCTCAAAACTGCCTCACGTGGGCCAAGGACAGACCCACGTGGCAGGCCGTGTTTTGGCGCATGGAAACTAATGCTTACCCTGTGCTTGGCTGCAAAGGGCACTACATCACAGCACAGGTTTTACGGTTTTATCATCTCAGCCCAAGCCACGGGCTGGAGGAAATCAGTGCTACACAACCAACATACAAGGGCTGCTCCAAAAGTAATGCCTCCTGTTTGGTGGTGGGGTGGCAGCAGAGGTTGAAGTGGTGCTCACTGACATTCACCAATGCTTGCTGAGTGTTTATGGAGATGAGTGAGTGGCTGTGAGCACAGCATGGCAGTGGGTGGTGCATTTCAGCAGCGGTGACAGTGACAGCAGTCACCTCCAGCAGGACAGGATTTTATGAGAGCAGCATGCAGGCTCTTGTTCATGACTGGTGAAAACGCATAGCATTGTGGTGGTGACAACATTTTGTAGCTGAGAACTTGCTCTATCAAATAGTGTCATCGGGCTCTCTGTAGCTGCTGTAACTCCCACGGAGAAAAAGAGGAGGCATTACTTTCGGGGCGAATAACGTCTCTCTATTTACACTCCCCCGGCAGCGCAGGCCGCGGGCGCCACCAGGCCAAAGGGGCGTGGCCCGCGGGAGGGGGCGTGGCCAAACTCAGCTCCGCCCAGCCCGCAGCGCGGCGCTATAAGACACGGGCGCACAGCACCCCGCCCGCCCCGCGTCGCCCGCCCCGCAGCGCCTATCGCAGCCCCGCGTCCCGCCGGCAATTCCTGCTGCGCCACAGCCATGGCGGCGCTGACGGTGAAAGCCTACCTGCTGGGCAAGGAGGATGCGACCCGCGAGATCCGCCGCTTCTCCCTGATGCCGCCCGTCCGCTATCAGGCCGTCCACGACCGCGTCGCCGAGCTCTTCCAGGGGCTGCTGCGGGCCGGGCCGCCGCCCGCGTTCCGCATGCACTATAAGGGTGAGCGCGGCGGGGGGCTCCCCCCGCGGGTCGGGGCCGCCGGGAGCCCCTTGGCCGGGAGGTGGGGCGGGCCTGGCGGCGCGGTGTCCCTCTGCTCCGTGGGCCGAGCGCCTGACGGGGTCCTCTGCCCTACCCAGATGAAGACGGGGACCTGATTGCGTTCTCTACCGACGAGGAGCTGGATATGGCCATGCCTTATGTGCAGGACGGGGTCTTCCGCGTGTACATCAGAGGTAACGCCCCGCAGCCCTGGTGGCACCGAGTGCTTTGGCTCGATGTGCTGCTGGCTGGGCTCCGAGACTGGGAAAATCCCCGTCCTGTCCCTCATCTTCACACCACAGCTCAGAGGGGAGGTTAAATGAAGGGCAGGGTAATGACAGGGCATAAACCCACCCTGCCCAGGGCTTCCTCCTGGCTCCAGGGCCTCGGTTGGCACAGTGAGAGCTGCTGTGTTTGGGCTGGTCCTGTGAATCCTCTGCTGTACTACCAGCAGGTGCTGTGACATGCTAAGGGGCCCAAAATCCAGCTTATTCCTAAGCACATTGTTCCTCAGTCCCTTCTGTTCACTTGGATACCTGCAAAGCTTTACGTGCAGTCCATGCAGCGAGTCATGTAAGCCACCCTTCTTGTCTCAGTTCTCATCTGCTGTGTCTCCTGGCACTGCTGAGCCCTCTCAAGAAGTGTTCCATTCTCACAGCACTTCACAAAGTAGGACAACACACCAAGCAAGGGTGGTGCAGCACTAATCTAAAACAATGCAGAGTGCTAGGGGTGAGGCATGCTGTTTGAGGCGCAGGTATGCTTGTAACGCCCCTTTGCACTTGGTCAGTGTTCTTATGTGTCCTGAGTTTGTGTTTGGCAGCCAGTGTAAAAATAAACTGACCTAGTAAGTCAATACTGCTGTGACAAGGGCTGTTTGTGTTTCCTTCTCCTCTGCCCGATTTCCAGCCTTTAAATAGTACCCTCGTTCTTGATGCAAAGTTCCCTTTCCTTAATAGAGAAAAAGGAGTGCAGGCGTGAACATCGCTCGCAGTGCAGCCAGGAGCCTCCCCGTGACATGGTGCACCCCAACGTCATCTGCGACGGCTGCGAGGGGCCGGTGGTGGGTGCTCGCTTCAAGTGCACCGTCTGCCCTGACTACGACCTGTGCAGCACCTGCGAGGGGAAAGGCATCCACAAGGAGCACAACATGGTGATGTTTCAGAGCCCGCTGCTGAATCCGTTTGAGGTGAGCAAAACTTAGGGAGCGGAACCAGCGAATGGGATGCTACCCAGATGTAAGCTTTAAGTTTCACTTGCCCCACAAACATCACCTTTTGCAGTGGCTTCCCAGAGGGCGCTGGCTCCGTAAGATGCGGCACGGCGTTCCACCCTTCCCCTGGATGCACTGCTGGGGGTATCCTGGACCTGCAGCTCCATGCCAGAACTCGGAACAAGCCCAAGCCAGTGCTGCTGCCTCCAGTCCACCCGCTGCTGGAGGTAAGAGGAGGTGGTCTGGTAAAGGAGAGCAGTGCTGGAGGAGCAGAGTAGCTGGGACTTCACAGCACAGTGTGGAATCTGGGTGCGAAAAGAGACATGGGAACTAATCTAATTTGTGTGAAATAATTAGCCCCTTTCAGGATGCTTCACTTCTGGTGTGTCTTGTGGCCATGTAATACATGAGTCTACAGAGGGATTATTTGGAACCAGACCAAGCAGAGCTATTAGGTCAAGCATGTCACTGCTCTGCTCTTAGACGTGCCTTTCAGCATGGCTGATGAGCCTTAACAGTGCTAATGCCACTGGTCTGTTCCAGAGGTGGTTTTGGTCTCTCTGCTGCCTTTGTGCTGTGCAGATGAGTGACACAAAACGAGCACCAAGAATTCCTGGGGATGTGCTCTTTCCCTGTGGGCTGCTATGTGTACTAACACAAATTATTCTTCTAGAAGCTTCTACTAACAGCCAGCCCCAGGACCCCAATGTCACCTTCTTAAAGAATGTTGGGGAGAGTGTGGCAGCTTTTCTGAGCCCCCTGGGTAAGTGGCTTACAGTGTGTCATCCCCATCCCTGAGACTGGCTTTGCTCCCACCAGGAGCAGCAGCCAGCTGTTGTGGTTGGTACCAGAACCACTTTGTGCTACTAAGCCTCAAAGCCTTAAATTATTGTGTACTAAAATTGTTTGGGTGTAGGCCATCCACTCAGTACCTTTTCAGAGTCCTTTGTAAGGAGCTGAGGAAGGGATTAATTATATAACCCCAAGTCACCAATGACTTAAAATCATGTTACGGTGATATTTTGCTTAGGCAGGCATACTTAAGTTCTGCCTTGACCCTCTAAACATATGGCCTGTCTATTTAGTGGAGGATGACTAATTGGTGCATCAAAGCCTACTAAAAGAACGCTTCACAAACTTGAATTCATACATATTATATGGAAAACTGTAGGATTACAGTTTTATCATGCTGCAGCATTCAGTCCAGGATTAATGTGTACTTTTTCTTAGAACTGTGCTTTCAGAAAATCTAACATTTTTTTCTTGGTCTCAAATGTGTTCCTAGGTATTGAAGTTGATATCGATGTGGAACATGGAGGACAGAGAAGCAAAGTGACTCCTGCTCCTCCTAATCAAGAGAGTAACAATGCTGAGTCAAGCAGCAGTACTCTTAACCAGAACAGCCAGACCAAACCATACTGGAATAGCACAGATTCTGCTACGGTAGTAAGCAATGTTGCAGAGCAGATACAAGACATGGTGATAGATCCTGTGCCCACACAGATGGAAGATGGCAGCCTCCAGTCCCAGGTACAAGAAACACTGCACTAATTTAATATGGTTGTGAGGCTTTACTGGAGAGAAAGTAATTGGTATGTGTT